ATGAACCTAAATCCTCCATGGATCCACAAGAACCTATAGCAACTGAGTGTTTGCTGCAGATGTGCAAATATATGAGTCCACGACTATCTCGTGGAAATATATAGGACATGAGGAATGTATGAGAAAGATACATCTACATGTGCAAAGAGTAGAATATGCTTGTGTACCAGCATTTTCAGTCAAGAAGGACAACTTTTTACGAAACAGTTCAATGGTTAGTTGGACTAACTGAACTGTCCGTCAATTATGTATAACCTCTAACACGAGGAAACCTACTAATCTAAATCAGAAAAAAATCAGATTCTATAATCTCAAAAAGCATCACAAGGTCTTCACATCATCAGATGTTTTCATCAGAATCTGAGTCAACTGAAGATGACAATGGTGGTAAGCTGTCTGGACAAAACTACCTCCTACCCTAAAAGCCTGTCTTGAAATTGTGACCTACAGATGCAAGATAGAGTGCAAAACAGGCTGGTATATGTGTTACAGAAAACACCTCAAGTGCACTTCTGCCTGTCAATGTAACACAGTCAGCTGACGTAACACAGCTAGTCAATAAACCAAAACTGTATGATACATGCACTTTACTTATCTTGTTGTTACACATTTGCTATAACTTCACTATGATGTATAATACTAAATGCAATCTCAGTGTTAGATAAATTCATGCTCCATTTTATAGGTTCTGGTGAGTGTGTGTGTGTGAATGTCAAGGATTGAACACAACTTAATGAAAATCTTGCAGCTACATATAATTACTTCAATTACCTCTTTGAGTTGAATGTCATTTTAAATCTACACATAGCCTGTAATCATTTGACCTTTATGACCTTGGAAATTACTTTTCTATTTTGTTTACCGTTTTTGTCATGCATTTGCTAAAAACTTCATTACGGTGTATAATGCTACACAATCTCAATGTTACATATATACATTCTTCATTTTATAGGCCCATGTGAACAAACTAGATAAAATGTCTGTATATTTTATTTTTTCTCTTCTTAGAAAATATATGCTAATACTCATATTGTTTAATGCTATATTCGTGTGAATGACAAAGGTTGGATACTACTAAATGAAAATTAAAATGTTGCTGCTACATATCATTACTTCATTCAGTCCAATGATATTTCAAATCTAGTATATCATTATTTGACCCTTGGACATTGGAAATAACCTTTAATTTGAAAATCAAGGGTGGTATCTGCACTAAAAAATTAACATTTTCCTAAACTGAATATCTACTTCCAATAGATACTTACCTTTGCTCATAAAAAAGCTTTCTCAACTTATACTGCCCTCTATCTGTGCAGGCCTACATGATCCACCACACCAGCAGCTAGGAACAGGAAAGTAGCTAGAACCCCATACTCCACAACAAGAAGAAGGTAAAAAGTGAATTGGAGGGTCTGAAGGACTGCAGCACTGGAGACAGTGCAATGGGGGACTACAATACCCTATTTTCAAAAGCAAAGTGATCATGTTGACAAAGTGCATCATCCAACACCTGACAGCATCTGGAATTGTGCATCAGGTCAGTGGTAGGAAGAGCCTCAAATTCCATGGATCATCAGAGATAGGCAGTGATCTCTCTCTGCTTTACTCATATTAGTACATGAGTGTACAGTCAAGGATGAACATATTTATGAAGCAAAATACTGTGGGGTATACCTATGAGTGGTACTGCAGAACACCCCATCTCAGTAGAGGGTGTAACATGACTTGGATAAGTGTTACGACATTGTATTTTGAAAGTATAGAGAACACGTTGACAGAGTCAATCAACCAACACCTGGCGGCCTCTGGAATGGAACATCAGGTACGCAGGAGAAAGAGTCTCAATGTCAACAGTCATCTAACATGTTCAAAAGTCATACAGTGCAGATTTAAGACTAAGTATACCTGGTCAGTTTTATTGCGGGATATCCAAATATGCAATAAAAGCCCCTGCAAATAAAAAGAAAAATTAGCATAGTACTTACCACCATAAACGTACAGTTACAGCACTGATTATGTCTCCCAAAGGAAAATGGAAATGTGCAGCCCTCAGGAAGTGAGGAAAAGCCCAACTGACAGCAAGTTCCAAGATTGATATGAAGATAGATCTCAGAAAGCCCAAAACCTCTGGAGTGTAGAGATACACCCCCAACTGGAAAAAGAAACATCCATAGAAGGTGACCTTCTAAATGAGGAGGAAAAAGAACATCTATGGTAGTATTGTTTCAGTCAAAGTTGGTCTGTAAGGGAAGGGGAAGTGCAAGAGGGGCATCTGAGGGATCCCAAACAAGGCTCCATTGGTCTATCAAAACCCACTTATGATGATTCACGAGGGCATGACCAAGAGGAATGAGGACTTCAAGAGAAGTAAATGTCTCCAAAAAAAGAGAGAACCTCTCATGCAGTAGGAGAAGAAGAGGATGTGATGCTGCACACGAGACCTTCTATAGCTCGCAAATGAAGAGGAGCAGGTAGGACCAGATGGAGGAGGGAGTGGAAAAACACCACAAGATAAATAAAAAACATTGTGTGGGTGTAAGGAAAATTGCTTCACTTTGACAACCCACCATGACAGTGTCATGGAGAAGAAACTGAGGATGTAGGACTGAGTCATCTTGTGAGGAGACAAGAAGAAGCCATACATCCACAGAAAGGTGGAAACGAAGGCCCCTGGAATGAGTCAGATGGGCAAAAAACAAGAACCCGAGAATGAGGGAAGGAAATGGGATTGTGAAACAATGAGGAAGTAGAGGACCAGACTTACTTAAACAACTTTAAGAATCCATGGATCAACTGCCAAGGATCTCCAAATGTGGACAAATTGAAGGAGTCTGGCTCCCACTAGCCCTGACACAAAAAGTGTGGTCAGCGTAAAACAAATGCAGAAAAAAGGTTATCAAATTATCGGGGTCCTATCCACACTAACGAAGAAGCAATACAAACACTTTGAGTCCAAATAAGGGAAGTTGAAACAATGACAATCAAAAGCATGATCATCCACAGTAGATGAGGGTCAAGAGATGCCCACGCTAGAATGCAAGTGCTTCCAAAATGACTCGCATGAACTCCAATATCCAGGGAAGGAGAAAACACTAAAATAATGACCCAAAGCCTAGACCCAAGAAGAGCAGGGGTGGAACATAGGAAATGGGAGATAAGTTGACATAAATTTAATACTTATAACTCTCAATATATTAGGTATATCTTCATGAAATGTATCAGTCTTTCAGTTAATATTGCAAGTCTTTCACATATAAAAAATCATATTTCTAAGTGAAGTACTTTTAATAAAATAAAATGAAGATTTGTCTATTAATATATTGAGTATTTGTTTTGAATACTCCGTGTGCACAGTAATTTTCATGTCAAAATTAAAAATACTTTTTGTTATCTCAAAAGTCTCAAATTTCCTTTGTGTAATCCCTAAAGCTTCCTAAATGTATTTCAAACAATTTTTTTTTCACTAAATACTTATAGTATACTTGATATTAACAGAAAATGTCATTCAATGTGTAAATTTGTCCTGTTGGCTGGCCTACTACGAAACTTTCTCTAACTTGGTAAAACAAGTCTTCACATACATACATTTTTAAATTATGTTTTTTTACTTCCTACACTGAGTAAAAATATAAAATCATATTGTTTCAGGCTACAGTAACTTCTGCAATATCATTTTCTTCACTTTTCAGCTGAATGTGATTTTGCTAATTCAGAAATTATTAGTTTAAACAATTTCTGTTTCCATTATTCATATTCAGAAATCAAATTACATTATGGTCTAAAACAAATTTCAATTTTGAATATAAACAAGTAATTATGTATTGTTTAAATCTGAATTGGAAAAAAAAATCTGAAGTAATTTAAAAAAGGTTATTTTGAACAGTTTGAATAACTGTAGTTCTAGCTTCTTGATAAAGCATTTCTAAATAGTTAATCAAGTTTACTTCTCTCTGTATGAGGTAATAAATGCATATCTAATAAACAAATGGAACCATAGACGTAGCAAGTTGTTACATTCAAACTGCTTTTTGCTTCTGATATTTTGTTCTATTATCCACATTTATTTAAAGACATATCTTTCTTTGCTATGGGAGTTTTGTTTGTATTTTACTCCACAAACAGTTACACTATGAGTGTTCTGTTCCATGCCCACTATAGGTACTGAACCCAATTTTTATTGTAAAAAACTATCAAATTTATTGCTGAGCGAAAAATGGAGAAAACTGTTGCTATTTCAGTGTAAAGTTCTACAATTGGCTATGTACATTCTGTTCACCTAGGTGATTTGAATCATGAAGTTAAGCACTGTATGTCCACATACCTATTGCTGACCTACAGTGGGACTTAGGATTGGGGACTTTAATTTTCTTTTTCCCAAAATACTAACCCTTATAACATAATATCAACAAAAATATATTTAATATAATGAAAGACATGGCTACCTACCATAAGTGGCAAACATAAGCTAATAGCCCCATTTTAAATTGCTTCGTAAGCATTCATCGAATCTCTAAAATATTTTTAAAATTTATTTACCTTTGGGTACTACAGTTGTTTCATTTTAATAAGCTATTTTATGAAACTTCAAACAAAAGTTCAGTATTTTACTAATGTATATATAATGGTTACAGATTTACGTTTTCTGAAGACCTTGAAGCAACCTTTTAAACCACCCATCCTAACACTGCCAATTTAACATCAATACAATATTTTTTGTTTTTTAACTTCATAAAAATTTGGAGAAAATGGTGAAATATTAATAAATCTTTAAATTTCTTAACTTTATGGCTGATCTTCAACTAAAGTTGCTCTCTTTAATTGCAAAATTTCATTTGTATAAGCTGAGCATCTATATTTTGACATACTTTCATCATTTATTCTAACAACCAGCTAACACAGCAACAGCACTGAACTGCTTTCACATACTCAACTTTTATATATCTATTGTAGATGACTTATGAATGATTCTATCAAGAATAAATTTTAATTTCTATTCATACCTCATCAAGAGTAGAAATAGGAATTAGCTTCTGCCCCACTTGGGTAGGAGGTTGTTCACTTGGTGGAATATTCACCTCTTCATATTTGGAATTTTTTACATGTTCAAATCCCCATGGAAGGGTCATCTAATACAAATATGAATTAATGCTTCTTGCCATTTTGATTGTTTTTAAATATACAGTAATACTTCATTTATCAAATAATTTGATAATAAAATAATAAGATTTTACGATCAGTTACACAGTAATAACGCTTTTTATTTAAAATACATCAAGATTTCAATTATAAATAGTTATTTAGCCAGTTTGTCAATTTATTTTTGTACATCTTTTGAATAAGATAAACATGAAAGTAGTATTCAATAAATAGGATTTGAGTTGTCAGAATATTTTGCTGTCACCTGCCATATTTTCTAAACCTAACTAAGCTACTCTCTTTTCTTCTCATGGAAAACTTCTGGAGCTTTCAAACAGCTATAATGTAACATGCAAACACTTTCATGAATGAAAAAAACATTTAAAAAGGGTGGCAACCTGTCCAAGAACTAAGCAGACAAGGACAATGGAAACACTTAAAAGTAAAAAAAAAAAAATGGATAACATATTCTCAAGAAATAATACTTCCTCAGCAAAAGTAAAGATATTCAAATGAATTGGCACAAAAATGACCCAAAAATCGATGTGTGTTATTTACAAACAAAACTCTTTGGAGAAATTTGTTTTCATCAAAGTTAGTGTTGTTTTTCAGAATTTGTAATGCATATTTGATAGGTTTAAACATTCTGTGAATAAGGTTGGAAAAAAAAGGCTTTTACTTTACAGATAATAAGAAAAACTTTAAATCAGCCAATGCTTCGTCACTGGGACTTCAATTGGATGAGTAGTATAAGAACTGTTTACAATTAGTATTGCTCAGAACACCTGTAACTCTTATTTTCCCTATCTACTATCTAGCGAAACCACGGCCAAGGGAACGGGCTTGGAAAAATCAGCGGGTTGTTATAAGATCAATTTTTCATTGATCAAAAGTCATAATACTCTCAAAAAAGATGTTTGTATATTGTTGATATCCAAAATAAGTGAAAATTCAAGTGCTATAATTGTACAAGTGATGACTTAAAAAATTTAAAATAGGCATCCTTTTATGAGTGCTAAAATATGAAGTTAGGTGTACACTTTATAATTTTTTTTTCAAATATAATTATAACTATTTCATTTTAACAGGCCCCTCATGAGCCAGTGGGGGACATTTTTGTTGAAACAAAACAAAAACTACACCATCCAGTTTTTCTTAATTTGAACTGCAGTTTTTGGACATTTTTATTGGCTAAAAAGAGGGCATTTCCCACACTCTTTTAGAATTGGGGCTGCAAAAAGTGATTTGAAGTGGTAAGGTGACTGAAATCCATCAGCACATCACGAGCTTAATGGCCAAGCACAAGAAAAATAGAAGTCTCCAAATGAAACGTAAAGGCAATCGAGAACTGTTCACAGCCACCTTGGTAGATATTGTGCAGCAAGCTGAGTATAATATTATGCCTGTAACTACTTTCAAAGTGTTCCTGTCTGCTCATCCTGCTGCTGACTATCATGATGCCTTGACCTTCCCTACTGATTTGCAGGTGAAATCATTCATATTTCAACTGAAATCTAAACATAAAAAGGTGATAGCAGAGGCATAAAAGATTAGCAATTGCTTAATTAATGATGTTGAAAATGTGGCTTTATAGATGTATACTGAATTTACCCTTAGCAGGTGGACTTTAGTACTAATTAGTATGGAGACTTGATGCACTATTTTACTTAAAAATTTATCAATTAACAAACGAAAACTTGTGTCGAGGGTGTCTCGAAAAGATACATCCAAAACCACCCTTTTGGGAGTTTCCAGATTGAACTTGCTTTTAATATTCAACAAATTGTAGTATAAAGACACCCCTTAGCTCCTGGGGTACATGTTAATTACAAGATTTAAAATGTTTGTCTTTAACTGTTTTTATCTTCATATCAATCATGTTATTGAAAAAAGATATAAGATATGAAATTGTTGGATTATAATTCATCTGAATTTGTGAGCTTTCTACCTGATTTTGTTACTAAAGTTACTGGTAACATTTAGTTATAAGTAAAAAATATTGGGAGTAATATGCATTTATCAGTAGTGCTAGTTGAGTTCTAGCTGAACACCCCCCCCCCCAAATAAAAACAAACCAAAAAACATCCTTGCTCACCCATTTTGAGTAACAGTTTCTCAAAGTATGGATATTTAACATAATTTGAAACATTCATGAATCATGTTTGAAAAATGTTTAATACACGTACCCCATCTAGTGAACTTTCAGATTTCTCTATTTTATTTTTCTTCATGAACATCAGTATTGTTTATCAAATATGTATTGATTTTTGCAAATGTTTTGAAATATAATTTCATTTTCAATAGTGAAATACGTATTCAATATTCAACTAACTTATACATGATGTAGGCCTATAGCAAAATCTAGTTGCTTTTTTAAGTATTTTACTGTTGATGTTTTTCGAGTGATAATGTTTACTAACATTATATAAAAGTTGTTTGAAAATGTCACGAAGTAATATGTTTATTTTCACCAATAAAATTTCAGTAGTTTTAATACAGTAGTCTTGTGAAAATTTGTGAGGAGAAACCCACACTATTAATCATATTACTTTCAGGTTGTTACCGGTTTCATACTGCTTTGCATGTATGATATATTTTCATGTACAACAGTTTAGGAGGAGCAAAATAACTTGCTCCTAATTTACTGTACATGAAAACATGATTTCCTCTAGCTTTTTCATATATTTTTGCCACAAACTTTTAAGGCAGTTGTATATTACAATTCTATGTATTTAAACAATTCTAAATGAGAAATACTTTCAAGTCAATATTTTGTCATATTCTGGCATTTATTTTGTGTAATTCATAAAGAAAAAATATAATGTTTTCATTTCTGCATAGCTGCAAAGAGTTTTCCCTGTACACAAACAACCTACTTCTCTGTTTCTTTTTAGAATTTTTTTGTCTATTCCAAAGAATATTTATTTTTATTAAGAACCTATCACTCCTTGAGAATATATTATTCATTTCTTGATTTTCAAATGTTTCCCTTAGTTTTTGTAAGCCTTGGTTGAAACATTGTTATAGTGCTACATCAAGTGGTTTAATCATTTACAATAAAACACAGTTTTGAAAACAGCTATAAAAAATGTTTAAATACGAATGGATACAGCAAGAATTACACTATCACACGTTAATAAAGTAAATATATAGATTTAAGGGTTTTTTAGTTTCTGTAAACTAACGTTTTAGTTCCTTTCATTGAAAATTGTGATAGTATTTGTGTGGTAAATCATATCTGTTTGATAGCTACAAAAGTTTCTCCAATGAGAAGAGATCACATAACATGACATAATAAGGTAGATAAGCTCATATAGTTTCAAAATGAGTTGAATGGATAAAAAAAGAAAATCTTATTACAAGTTAAACACAATAACAAATAAACTATGTCGGGAGAAAGTTTTTTCATTATCACAAGTAGTTAACTTAGACATAGGAAACACACACACAGAGTAAAAGTAACTGACTGGAGATTGCTTAAGGATTAATAAAGGTACTTTGTTGATGTTTGGTTCTTTGTTTGAAATTAGTACTTTTTACTAGATATACTATGGTTTTGAGTTGCAATGTTTGAAAATATGAGGCTTTTTATTATGTTCACCAAATAAAATAGTCATCAAATTAGATAAACTTAATGTTTAGTGAATATGGTAGGCAATTTCAAAATGTTGTGATGACAAATCTCTAATGCATATCATTTTGTTTCTCCTATTCAAAAAATGTACATAAATAAATTGGCTTGCTGGCTAAACAATTATTTGTAATTGTAATCATGACATGTTTTAAATACAAATATTATTTGAATATTATCAGAAATCATAAAAAGGATAAAATACACACATACACTAAATCTCCATCAAAACAGAAAACTTACTTTTACTCCTCCAACGTATCCAGCAGACAGTTTAGCTTCAGCATAGGAATCAAACACATATGGAAGATTTTTTGGGTGTCCAGCCACTGACTTGTGTGAAAACAGTGGCTTCCTCTTAGCAGACAACAGCTGTAATTCCCTGTCAGTAACATATGAAAATACTGATTATTTAAAAAGAAAAAAATCTAATTCTAGTGATATCTATACAGTGATATTTTGTTTCATTTCCAAGTGTATTCATTAATAAATGAATTGAAAAGCTTCCTGCACAAGAGACAAGCCATTTGAAGTCCATATAGCCTTAATACACATAAATAATCCTTACCTAAGATTGTTATAAATGTGTCACTCCTCACCACCAAATTTTCTTCAGATTTTGCATGGTTGGTGTGCTACATGCTCAGAATCAAAATTTCAAGTCTCTATGCTATATACTTCCTGAGATATAAGTCATCAATGTTTGATCTGATTTTGCTACCTGGCAATATTCAACTGGCCAAATCTTTTGTTGCATTCCAATAACAAGATGATTCTTGTACCATTCTGAAACTTTCAAAATTGAACTCACAAAACCCATGCCATTCATAATTTATGATATGAAAATTTCTATGTGGAAAAAAGATGAAAGATAAAAGGTTAGGGTGGGTCAACAGCATTAAGAGACCTAAAAAGCTTAATGACTGTCACAGATTTTACTCTTATTCAAGTGACCTCACATGTGTGCACTGGTGCTAGAAGGTTGTCTGTGTGTTCAGGGCTCCAAAGAAAATGGTACCCTCCAAAATTGAATACTCTGTTCTCATGTCTCACAACATATTGAAAAGTTACAGACTGAGCAGAAGAAAGCTAGTTTATGGGTTCCCAGAAAAGGCTAGGAAGTCTTAAAAATTGATATAATTAAGATGTCATACCACATTCTCATACTCTTGAATTGCTGCATATTCAAAATTCATTTCTATCATGTAAGAGCACCAAAACTGATACAGTTGCTGTGTCATCATGAGTTATTGGTTAATGCTTTTCATATGGGGTCAGTTGATATATATGACTGATCTTGTAACCACATGTATTGGTGTTTTCATACTATAGCTTTTAATATGTTTTGTGTATCTTTATGAAAGTTGCCAAACTTTCAGTAAGCATTACAAGCTTTAATACATAAAAAAATCAAAATTTTTAAATTAAAGATTTGTCAGTGAATATACAGAGTCAAGAGTGTTGACAGCTCCAAGTGCAAAGTCATTTTCATGTTAAGATTATAAATACTTTTTTCAACTGAAACTTTTTAAATTTCATTTGTATAACCTCTTTTTCAGTAAAACTTTATATCTTATCTGTTATTTCTTATACTATAACTCCATGGACTTAGTAGATTTTACTGATCTTGCAACCACCTTTTAACATTATATGAAATAAATTGAAATTATCTTTTTTTTCTTTCTATAATGACTGCAGGTTGTAACAGAAAACTACAATTGTTTATTCTAAATAGCTTAATCCTTTAGTCACCATATGCTACAAATTGTAACATGCAACATTCCTATCATTATATTTCATTCCAAAAATAAAATTAGTGGATCAAATTGTTTATAATTTCATTAAAATGTTCCTAAAAGTTTGTAGTTTCAGAAATATAAAATACTTAATTTAGATTTTTTTCTACTATTTATAATCAAAAATTCATTATTTAATGTAGTTATTTGCACTCAACTCTGAATAGTTCATGTGCAAAGTGTTTTATACATGAAGTATAAAAATACTATTTCTGACCTTACAGTTTTCACATTTCATTTGCATAATCTCTACAAACTCATAAATGAATAACAAGTGTTTTAAAGTAAATGTTTATATTTTATTGTCAATTGTCTCTACTATATCACTAACTCTATCTATCATCATCAACATACAGTTCAATGAAATATTTAAAATTAACAAAGGGAAATATGCACATACGTTTCAACTCTACTAAAAATGGTTTCAAACTTCTTTTTCTTTCTATGTGCATAATTTCACGTCTTTGTTTTTTTCACTTATAGTATATTATTAATGTTTGATTTTCCTTTCGAATTCTTGATATTTTACTTTTTATGATGACACATGAACTGATGCTCACGGGGCTTTATAAAGTCATTTCAGCAGAGTCTGTGCACAAAAAACAAGATGGTGCTTACACATGCATTGTGTTTGTTAAGTTTCACAATCTAGGCAAAAGCAAGTTATACTTGAATTTTAAAACATAAATGATACATAATTAACTAAAATATAAAAATAAAAACCTAAATGCAATTTAACTGTCTATCCATCTAATATGTATGAGGTGAGAAAGTACAGCCATTAGGAACCCCACACTCGACAATGGACTAAGCTTTATTTTATATGTTATGCTTCAAACAAATATAGGCTAGTCTCTTCTCTAAGTTACCCAAATACAGGGAAATCTGCTCTTTCTATTGGTTATAAGCAAGCCATTTAACTTCAAGCTGTCGCTTAGCAACAAAGCTTTGACTTCAAAAGTGGGTGTGGCTGACCTTAAACTTTGAAAGAATTTACAATGGTTTCCTGGGGAGGGAAGAAAATGTTCTAATGTTTCCAGATGGTTATGAAATATGCCTGGGTAGTAGACTTTGATTACCTAGCATAACAGTCTATGTTATCTACTCCCAGTTATTTGTATAAGAGCTCTTTAAAGTTGAGAATTGTAATGGTGAGCAAATCACATGACAGAAAAAACTGTAGTTTTAATTGCTGTTTTAGAAGTTTCTCTAAAATAAAGGAACACAACAGAGATAATATAAAAATTTAAATTATAAACTTACTTGATGATAATAATTTAATTAAAATACACTGATAGTAAAGTAGTCTAATTAAATTTTAATTACATCTGAATGATGTAACACACAAGCTGCTCACAAACATACCTTGTTAGGATTTTTTTTTCATTGTCTTACCTAACCTAACCTTTTATAACCTAATACGTTTATAACTTTTGCATTTTAGTTAATTTTATAGCCATAAATAATGAATATATAAGAAAACAAGAAATACAGTACTTACCTTTGACCTGGTTTTTTGTTAGTTGTCGATGAAATTTAACCCTACTTTATATAATGATGGTACTAGTACACTAAACAATTTTTAACTAGGAAAAAAGGGGTTTGAATTAATTCCCTTTTCTGCTCGATCTGAACCCCATGAGATAAATTTTCAAACTGAAAACAAAATTAACAATACTCTGTATTGAAAACATAGTAGTATTATGCATCATTTCATAAATTAAAACTTTGGCTTTCCATTGGTTATAGATAATATAAAAAACCTCAGAGAAAGAACTGTTAGCAATTTGTGAAAGAAAGGATGTGACAGGTAGCATGGCAAGCAGGTCTGATTTTCTAAATTTCTGGCTTGATAAACAAATAAAACTGAAGGACATAAAATTTTGCTTTACCTCAGTAGTGCTTATATTATAATGAATAATTTACATTAAATTCTGTACTTCTCAGAGAGTTGGTAAATAAATCAGAAAAGAGGGAATACCTAGGGAACAAACGCCACAATTCTCATACTAAGAGAGATTGAGGATTTATTTACATATTTCCTTTTAAAATTAAACCTTTCCATACAGGTATGGGTCAAAGCACATCATCACATTTTGTAGACTCGCATTCAAAATTTTATCAAACTACTATTTTATGACTTATGTCAATAAATTTGGAAAAAAACTGTAGTTTATAATTCAAATTTTAGTATTATACATTATCTATTTTTTAATTCAAAAGCAAGTACAAAACAAAAATTGCTAAATATCGATTTTTTGTGTCACACAGTACATCATCATCTGCTTTTTCTCAGATTCTATTGTGGGCATCATGAAATGTAAAATTCAATGAATTAGAAACTGAAATTTCCAGAACTGACATGCTAGAATATAGAATAAGAACCTCCTACCTTTTCTCTTTACCGAGATATCATTATATTTAGCAAACCACCACAGTGGCTCCACTCACCTCTTCCACTTTTGAAATACCTACACTTACTTCTATAAAGTAGATATTAATAACAAATCAAAAGCACTCATGTTCAAATATGTAATTCTGTCAGTTGTTCTAAAATGCATATAACAATTGGAGAGGGAAAAGTGGTGATCAAAGGAGATTTTCTTAGATCCAAATACAGCTTAGTTAGGTAGCCTGTTAAATTACTGTGAATTTTTGTAGTATCCATATATTAATTTATAATTTCTTCTATTCCAAACACTTCATAACATCGTAAGTAGTAGAGATCACTGTCTTCTTTTTTTTTATTTACTGTTCTATGTTTTAAGAAAAATAACTAAAATTTAAAAATTTATTTGTAAATAATAATAACATATACATATATCGTAAATGAAATGTCACTCTATTTTACAAAATACTGGTACGCTAGTACTAAGACTAATTAGAGTAAAATATTTGTATTTTGTAAAGATAAGTTTATGCTATTTGATATGGTAATGTGAGCTGCTTGTGACCTATTCATAAAAAAAGGATTAATGTCATTAACCCTCTCGCTATGTATAGGCCAAAGTTAGCATGTCATGAATTTTTAGAGTTACATTCAAAATTTAAATTACTTTATTCTCATTGTACATGAATAAGCTTGGCATCAAGATATATTTAATAAATCAAATTTCAATATCTTATAAGTTGTAAGTTTTTAATATCATAAGGAAATATTTTACAAAATTTTCTCTCTCATCCAGTATGAGAATAGTGACATTTGTTCTGGAGGTCTTCCCTCTTCTCTAATTTATTTACCACCTCTCTCAGAAGTATGGAATTTAAAGTAAATTACTCTGTATAATTGAGATATTACTGAGGCAATGGATAATTTTTATAGCCTTCAATTTTATTTGTATACAGAGTCATATAACTAGAAAGTAAGACCCATCTGTCATATTCACAAACTGACAATAGTTCTCTCTCTGATGTTTTGTACTACATTATTTATAACCAAAGCTTTAATCTATCAAATGACATATTATATTTCCTCAATTATGTATTATAATACATTATTTTCTGTACAGAGTACTGTTATCATGCCACTAGGTCGAAAATTTCTCTCACAGTATTCACACAACAAGCTCAGATAAAATTTTTTAGG